CACTTTCTGGCTATTTCTCAATTTTCATTTTTATTCTTTCTTAGAAAGCTACACAGTCTTTATTTGAGATCACTAGCAAGTTAATATTCTTCAAAATCCTTGATTACGAAAAGGATTGAAGGTGAAGAGCGAAAACTTAATTGCTGAGTTTTGAAGAACTGAATTTAAATTATCGAAGGGGATTGTGGTACCTATTTTTAAGTACAAAAATCAAATCTGGAGTGCAAATTTCGGGTTATATAGTAATTTTTTGTTAGATTTTGAGGATTTTGAACTCCATTGCAGGTTCTTCAAAAGTCCGATACATGTGATTTGAATCCGCACAATTACATATGATTGGCTATTCAAACTTTGTGGCAGTTGATATTTGATGCTAGATTTTGAGGATACATTGATTTGAAGGTCTGAAGCTTGATGAAAATCCATCTACCATTGATGGAGTTTCAGAGCTCAGAACTGAATCGGTTGCCATCATTTTTTATTGTGGTGACTGGTGACTTTTGTAAAGCCTTTTTAATTAGAAATATGGATGAATTCAAAAAATTTTACATTAAATTACGTGTAAAAAATGTGAAGAATTGGGTATAAGCAACTTGTAGTGGTGAAGATTCGAAAAGAAAATACCTTGCTGCGGCAATTTGATGGAAAAGAAGAAAAGAAAAAGAAAGAAAGAAAGAAAAGCAAAATAAAAGATAATTTTAAAGTAAAAAGGGAATAAAAAGAAAATATACACAATTTAAATAAGAAAAATAGGTGTCAAAATATGATTGGTGCGTGTCATATATTATTTTGGTTGAAAGTGGTGCTAGTCACGAAAGGTGGTATTTATTACACTTCGAACAAAGAAAGGGGGTCATAGGACTCCCGCAAAATTTAAGGGTGCAACTGGTAAAGTGGACAACCCCAATGGGGTAATTATGTATTATCCCGTAGAAGATATATAAAGTCATCTTTAAAGTAGTCAACGGAATTTCTTTTAGGTCACGGGTTCGAGCCGTAGAAGCAGTCACTAATGCTTGCATTAGGGTAGACTATCTACATCACGCCCTTAAGGGTGCGGCCCTTCCCCGGCCCATGCAGAATGCGAGATGCTTTGTACACCGGACTGTCCTTTTTTTATCTTATAATCAAAGAAAGCACACCAAGTCCAAAAACAAATCTAATAATTTTCAGCAGGAAGTCTATTATGGTAAGCTTGCTGGATGTATAAATACATACTACTAACTTTTATTTGAATTGAATTCAAAGACATAATAGTTTAAAGGTTATTGCAAGATTACAATCTCTGCAACTTTCTTAATATCCTGAAAAATATATACCTTATGATCTGAAGACCTTAAGGGAGTGATTAACACACGAGAAACCACCATCAACCATCAAATTATGCCCACTTATATACCTTGCTTCATCACTAGCTAAGAACAGAACAGCATTAGCTACATCCTGAACCAACAAATCCACACCCTGCAAGTTCGCAAACTTGCCAAAATAAGCATGAAAATCCGCGATTGCATCATCATTCCTTTGATCCTCAGACAAGTGAGACAGGCCCATTCCAGTTGCAACAGCGTAAGGAGAAACGCAGTTCACACGTATACCATGTTGCCCCAATTCAGCAGCCACATTTTTTGTAAGTCCCGGAATAGCATGCTTGGAAGCTGTATAAGCATGAGGCGCAAGGCCAGCAATAACACTTGCTGCACTGCTCATAGATACTATCGATCCCTTCTTTAGTGGAATCATTATGCGAGCTGCGTGTTTCATTCCAAGGAAAACACCTTTCACATTCACATCAAGCACATTATCGAAGACAGAAAGGTCACAGTCGCGAATATCTGTATAAGTTGTCCCTACCAATCCAGCATTATTAACCAATATATCAAGCGTACCAAATTTTTGAACAGCAAAATCGACTGCCTGACTAATATCAGCTTCTGCAGTAACATCACAGTGGATAAAATATGCACTTTGGTCATCACCAAGGGATTCACAAACGCGCTGTCCAAGTTCATCTTGAATATCAGCAATGCATACTTTTGCACCGTGTTTGTGAAATAAACGTACTATGCCCTCTCCTATACCACTTGCACCTCCGGTGACTAAAGCGACTCTTCCCAATAGCCTGATATATCAGATGAAATTACAACATATCGACTACAATACTATGATATAAAAGCATTTTCATAAAATATTTAAGCAAATGAGAAAAAAATATTTGAACACAAAGCATAAAGAAAAGAACTTGGATAGAAAATCAATCCACTTTATCAAAGTTATTAGTAATTTCCTAGGACATTTATGTAGTTCTCATCCTCTTCTGATTGATTTGTCACTTGATTAACAACAGAATCTCGATTTAATAGCACTGCTGTGACATTGTTGTGCTGCTTTCTCTGATGCTTAGTTTTGAAAAAAATCAGAGAGTTCTATTTCTGCTATAAAATTGCACTTTGAAAGTAGATATGCTAAAGTTCGCACAAGGGCGAATTTAGGCTGTTTTAACGGTGCACATGACCGATGGTCTTCGCCAAATTAGGTATTTTATGTATATATTTCGTAAATATTTGTTAGTCCCCATGCTCCAAAAAAGGCTTAGGCCCCGTTTGGCCATGAGTTTTCCCAAAATAAATTTGGGATTTATTTTCAAAACTCATGTTTGGCCATAAATTTTGCTCATATTTTGGCCAAATCCTAAATTTCAAAATCCCAAAATTAGCTATTGAGCTGATTTTTGGCCAAAATCCCAAAACATGGGAATTATATACATGTTTTTCCAAAATAAAGTTGGAAAATATGTTTTGAAAACGTATGTCCAAACACACTTTCATCTTCAAACCAAACTTCACTCAAATCAGATTTTTCAAAATAAATTTGGGATGTATGGCCAAACGCTAGCTTAATGATGCCCCTGGTTGAATGCTGAGTTATTTATCGAAAGAAACATGGATTGATTCCTACTTAGTACTTCTTTCTTCTCCCTTTTTCAGAGGTGCATCCATATTCTAGAAATCCTAGATCCGTCTCTGAGTTTACACTATAGCAAACATGAACAATAAAAAAAATGGAAAATTTTAGCATTGTAAGAGCTTATTGAGGTAAATATCCTTTCAAAGAACCATTTGTCAAAATGTGTATTTCGCTTATCATCAAACCAAATTCTGACACGAAACACAAGAAACTAACGAAATATTCTATTTAAAAGAACTATATTTGACAAAACAAGTATTAGTAAGAATTCTCAAATCAGAACCTTTGATTGGAAAGAGAACTGTCAGAGCTTCCTTTGACTTCCATGGCAGCAAGTTCCTTCTTGTTGGAAAAAGATATTTTAGTAAGAATGTGTTGAGTATGATTTTTACAGAAGACTATAGGAACTAAGACCCATTTATAGAGCGTTCGTACTATGCTACAGTCAGTGGCTATTGGTGATGGAATGGACCACGTGGAGCTAGATTGCTGAATGGAAGCCGTTTACAAACGATACTACAGCTAAACCTTAATCAACAAGTGGTTTATATGAATCCTCATACTATGTTTCTTCATTTAAATCCATCCCAAGCGAATATTATATAAAACAGAAATACAAATAAAAGTATTAGTAGAACTCTATATTTTTCATTAGCTTAAAAATCTCAAATAGGACAAAGAAAAATCCTAGAAAATGCAAGACCTAAACTAAGGTCTCGTTTGACACGAGCGATAAGGAATAACTTATATGCACCCCCGGGTATGTGCATGGTCAGGTTATTCAGCGATTGAGTGACTATTAGAACAACTATGGGCACGTTCGAGGACGAATATATGTTTAAGTGGGGAAGGATGTAACGACCCGACCGGTCGTTTAAAGCTTTTGCATTTTTGTTCGTCAGTTCCCGGGCATGACTTGTCCCGTATGATGTATTATGACTCATGTAAATCGTTGGTTTTTGGTTTTTCAGGGTAATCGGAATGAATTTGGAAGAACAGTTCCCAGTTTGAAGCTTGAAATTTGAAAGGTTTGACCAATATTTGACTTGTTTGTATATGATCTCNCTTACAGCGTTGGGGATTGTCGGGGGGGGGGGGGGGTGTCAAAGTATGCATTAAGCCCAAAAAATAAATTAGGACAAAACGATAAAACTTTGGACAAATCAAAAGTACTTATGAGCTGAGAAATTATAAGTTTGGAATAATCCACGTACGATTTGTAGATCGGTTTTGGCTTACAAATACTTTTAGTATGTATTAATAGCGTATATAGGCCAAAACTTATAAGCACTTTGACCAACTTAAAAGTTTATCCAAAAACCAAATGTATGAGCATTCAGTTTTTCAGGTAGTAGATCGCTTAGCATTTTTTTATTTTAATTACATTGGGAGAAATTAAAAAATAGTCAGATTTACAAGTGGTCATTCAAAAATAGCCACAGTTTCAAAGTCATTGAAATTTAGCCATTTTTCATGTAAAAATAAATTTGAACGAAAACATTGTTCCAAATCCGAAAAATACTCCAACATAATATACTGGAACTCCAGTATATTATACTGCACCGGTCTCTATTGCAACAAAATAGTGGCTGTTTTTGAATGACCAGTCCGAAAACTGGCTAGCCGAGCTATTTTGACAGTTACATTGGACTAGTTTGTGCAATCCAAAAGAGACTACAGAAGGAAGTTTGATAAGTAGGTTACCGACATTGACTATTTCACAAAAAGCTAATTGTCCCCGAATAGTTATGTACCTACTTGCATAGATAGCCCTTTAGGCACCTAGAGCCAAACAGATATAAAGTTTCGACTAACTAATTAGTTCATTTGAATCAGAAATAAAAAATATGACAACATGGGAGTTATACAACTTAACGGCAATGTTGAATTCTACTGCAACCATTTCTAGCCATCAAATAATGATATCTAGGGAAGTTGTTCCATATTGCGTGACATCCCATTAAGATTAGGCTCCAGCTTTCAGTGCTTCAACGTTTACTGCATGTATCTATATCATATGAAGACACACAAGCTCCCTACAAATTTATATGTCCATAATTGATTCATCCTGTCTAGCGAAAAAGAGGACCAGAAATCTTTTAACCAAAAAAAATGAAGATAAAATATAATTATGAAAATAATGGACGTGCAGACCCCAGAGAAACGAAACTGACATTCAAGAATTTGAATATAGACAATAGATTAGTCAGCCAAAACCAGAAAAGCCCATGATCAACGTGACAACGCTACCTAATAAAGCCTCAAAATTCACTTGTGTCGACTGATAGTTGAGCAAAAGGCATGTGCCGAAACCAGCTTCCCACATAATATCATCTGCAGCACCTTAATTGTTGCCTCCTACATGAAAATCAGCCATGAAACCTTCTATAAGGAGCTAAAATTACATTATCTTGCAAGAACAAGTTCTTTCATTCCCACTCTCAAATTCATCATCTGATTCACCGTCATCACTGCAATCACAGTACATGAAAGTAAGCACAAAAGACTTGCATGCTTTGCACGACGAAAGAATCTGTATAAAATTGAACACAAGAAAGCAAGTGACGTTTAACCAGACGATAGATTGACATATAACAACCACACAATATTTCAGCGAAAATTACACATGCATTCTTGTTCAAAGATGTTGGAAGTGTTTGTTATGGAAAAACAGTCCTCTACCAAAGTATCTACTCTCTCTATAAATCTGTAAACACTAACTTTTTACAAGTATGAATCAGTAAGCACATATGAATTTGTGGAACATAAGCAAATTCAGATGATTCCCGTATTTATAAACTAATCTCATTTGCTATACCTTGTCTTTAAAATGTGCCAGCAATTCTACTAATCAAAAGAACAAAAATGAAATCAATTCAGACCTAAAGAGCTTTGCGGTGCCGGGAAAAAAAGAGAAAAATATTCTAATTCACGAATCATCTTAGTCAAACTGAGTATACGAAATGTTGTCTTATATGTGTTCAGGCAATTAACAAATCACTTTTGATATTTGTCATGTAATCAGAAAGCCAAAACTCAAGCCCGTTGGAGTTGTTTCACATGTCTGAGAGAAACAGAAAATCATAGTTCTTAGATTGCGACAAAAAAACAAATAGTTAGCCCACAGTTGTGCAGATGAGGAGGAAAAGTAGTCCTCAACCGCAATCGAAGAAGATAAAATAACTTTTAAAAACCTGATAAAACCCAGACTCTTTGAGATACTATAACATGTAGTACTAATAAACAACTCTGATCTTATGCTTCCAAATAAATAAATTCAGCCTGAAATCCCTTTCTAGCCAACCTCGCCTTCTGTTGAATTACATCCTAACTATTTACTGTTCCACCTGAAAACTACACACTTACCTCTTTTAGTATCGTTCCAACTGAAAACTACATGCATACCTCTTTTAGTGTTGCCCTTAATCTAAGGCCCTTTTCTCATAGTGGACAACTGATACAATTTTTTAGTTCTCAAGGCAACATCTCTTCTGTTCTACTTCTATCCCTTGTTTTTGGAAGGAAATGGAGTATCTATGGCATTAACAACAAACCAAGTAGATATCTTTTAGGGAGTCTATTTCTCTTCTCCAGAACGTTTATTGCACGTGTAAAATCTTAGATGACTACAGGGCAGGATCATAACTTAGTCAATCAACAAATTTGGACCACAAAAATAACTGATTCATGCGCTCTCCTGAAGACTTCTAGGATCACTAGCATAAAAAGAAACAACAAACAAGATGAGCAAAGGATTTGCTGCAATTGAAGAAAAGCAATACTTCAAGTTGCTAAACTTTAGATATAAGCATCTAGATATTTAAAGGCATCTACTCTGCATGTCCACATAAAAATTATTATCTCTAGCACCTCCAAAATTTTACCAAAATCGAACACTAAAAATTTTAAGCAGAACATAAATACAGGAAGAAATTTTTTTGAAAATCATAAGCAGTTTGCAGCATTGTGGGATATTATAGTTTATAAAAAAGCTGCAATGAAAGGACCCAGAGTCTAATCAAAAGTATCTTGTGCCTTGAAGCTGTGGTTCACAAGAATAATAGAAAGATGTTGCCACCTGCCGGATGTCAAAGACATGAACCAGAACTTTTAATCCTATCATCAAATTAAAAGCATGCCAACAAGTCAAGGCACACAGCAATAAGTTGAATAACCATGGATTTAAGCACCTAGGCCTTACCTAAATATTTCAAGTACTGAGGCAGTTAATTCTTTTTACGATATATCTAACTCCCCATCTAACATGAAACTCTTAATTATTTTGAACAGTCACAAATATATATTTGGTACTAAATCATTAAATCCATTTAAAGTTGGAATGAGATTAATCATTAGCAAGATAGTTTACAATGCGAGAGTAGAATTCAAAACAGCAAGAAACAAACATCAGATTAAAGATGAAGAAACTGAAGCTCATACCTAGGCTCAAATTCCCTTATCTCAAAAAGCTCTCCTCCGGTTGTGTCTGTCCACTGCACTTTCCTTTTCTCCATAGGATTGGGGGCATCATCAATCTTTTCAGAAATTGTGTCACATTCATTACCATTGCCACCAGAAATGGGAACACTATTTGCTGGTTTCTTTAAGCTACTCCTAAGAGCAACCTTTGGTGAGATATGACTGTCCTCAATAATATTAACACACTGTGTCTGATTGTTGTCCTTGTCAGAAACAGGACAGCTAGGCAAGACTTCTGGCTGTTGGGTAGGACCGACTTTAAGGGGAGATGGGCTCTCAAGTCCAGCGGCAGCGCGTCCAAAGCATACAAAGGAGGCGCACCCGCGGACAACCCTGTTCTTCCCGGAAGCCAGCTGGAGGTCAGGATCAGTTTCTTGGTCCACCAACTGGTACTGGTTCCACGGTGCAACTCTCATGGGCTTCTCTTCGTTCTTCTGACCCAAGAGTAGAAGGGTCAGGCCCTTACTATATCCAGAAGCTGAAGACGAGAAGAAACCTCCTCCTTCTACTGCAAATAACATCAGTTCTGCTCATCTGGTCAACATGCAAATGCTTTTGTCTAGAGCTACTTCAACCTTTACAACAACTGCAGCCACCTGCCTCACACTGCATGACTGCTTGTCAGATGAGCAGTATATGGAATTTTACACATAGGGGAAAAAAAGGTAACACGAAGAAGAACACAACTGATTTGTACACCACTCATTCTGTAAAAAATAAGAATCTAATAATTCTTCCTTTCCAATTTATACAACACAAGTTCCATTTTTGGAACGTCTCAAAATATTTGACATCATTCCATTTCTGTACAACTTCCATAGCCATCAAGAATTCATATTAACTTAACTATCAAATTTAAACTTTGATCTGATATTTTGACTTTTAAACTAACTTTTCAATCGTTACTCTAATATTTTCTTCCAGATTCATCAATACAATATATAAGTCAAATCAACTTCTTAAGCTCCCTGCTCAGCCAAATACAGTCATATAAAATCAAACCACGTAGTAATTTTTTTCCACAAAATTGCCCCCAAAAAAAAAAGTACACATGGACAAAAAGCTCTAGAATGAGTGCTCCTGATTGTACTACCCCATCTCTTTTTTGACTAATTTCCTAAAATAATTGTTCTAAACCGCAATAGATAACTGTCAAAAAGGATAACAGTTAAAATAAATTCAGTTAAATTAATTAATATACAATTCTTCAACATATGGCTACAAAGCCGTTCATATTATGTCAAATCGAAGTCAAANNCTTTGATATTATACTTACTCTTTCTACAAGATGTCATTAGTTCAAGTGTTCAACAATACCTTAAGCTTCCAATAGTTCTATACTTCTATTGCTCTATAAAATCTTATCTAAGATCAACAATTTCTCAAGAAAGATTAAATGATGAATTGGCTATATTATCAATTGAAGAAGAATTATTAGAAAAAATCAATTATAAAAAAAGATTATTAAAAATTTGTATCTCAAAAAGTTAGAAGAATAGACTTTTAAAAAAAATCTTATAACTTTCTTTTAAGAATTTAGGTCCCATATTATACTTTGGGTCCGCATGTTCTTGAGTCGTCCCTGCATGGATAATACGGATATCTATTGATTAACCCGTTTTTTGTCTGTCTTAAATAGGTGTCGGGTCGGCTAATTTATTCATTTTTACGTTACTCATTTATGATCTGCCCATATTCAATCGACCCCCCCCCCCCTCCCGTTTGCCACCTGTATGTCCCTTTTAATTGCGCTTATCTTTTTTATTATTTTTTGGGTTAGGAAAGGAAAGATCTCTTTTTTAAAAATAAATTTTGAAACAAATAATACTAATTATTTTGTTTTCCAACGATATCTGGTACTTGCTATAGAATAACAATAATAATAAATCTAGTGCAATATTGCAAACAAAGTTTGGGGATCAAAGGATAATGTATACACAGACTTTATTGATATCTTGCACCCAAAGGTGTGACTTGGAGGTGGTGGTCAATGAAGTGGGTGAGAACCATGAGGTCCCAGGTTCAAATTCTAGCGGAGACAAAAAATCCAGGCCTTGGTGGATAGAGTTACCCGGTACCTGTTGCTGGTGGGAGGTGGCAGGTATCCCGTCGAATTAGTGGAGGTGCGCGCAAGCTGGTCCGAACACCATGGTTATCAAAAAAAAAAGACTTTATTCATATCTTGTAAAGGTAAAGAGGATGTTTTCGATAGACTCTCGACTCAAGGAACAGTGAAAATAAAGCAGCAACAAGATAATAGGGTAAAGGAAGCGAATGACACAAAATGTAATAATAAAGAACCAAGAATAAAAAAATCCAATAATAGTACTAGTACTACTGTAAGCTTAGAAAAACTCATGACTATATGTCAACCTTCAATCTTAATCTCGATCGCCACACCTTTCTGTAAAGCCCAAATAATTAATTCGCGATGGGAAAATTTCATATTGAAGAATAAAACGTTTGATATTAAAGATAATTTCATACTTCGCTAGAACACTAAACTTCTAATTAAAAATAAGACATTTTATATTTGTGGTTGAAACAACTAACTGTTGGTGGTTGAAACAAAGTAATATTGTGGAGTTTGTCTGCTTACCCCCCTTTTTGCTTTTAGGAAACGAAGAGAAACCAAAGCGGAAACATTTGTTTTGTATTAGAAAATTTATTAAATTTGTATTAATATATCATTACGAGCTCAATAACTAAAATATGTTATGGGTTCGATGTCACGTTCAGAACCTATAAATTTCAAATCCTATCCTTACCTCTAATTTTCAGTCACTACTTAAATTGGTTGTTGCTATTTTTTATTTATTTGATATCTAGAATTTACTAATTATTTTCAGTCACTACTTAAATTGGTTGTTGCTATTTTTTATTTATTTGATATCTAGAATTTACTGATCCATCAATTATATTCGCGTTAAATGGGCCCATTAAGTAAAAGAAAACACATTCTACCAAGAATTCGCTATTACTACTTAGAGTCTGTTTGAAAAGCCACTTAGGAATTGGATTTGGGTGTAATTGAGTGTAATTACACATTTTGGCATGTTTGTTTGGCCAAGTAATTACTTGGTCAGCATGTAATTGGGTGTAATTGAAGGGGTGTAATTACACTCTCCAATTCTCAAGGGGAGGAGAGAATTGGTAGTAATTATACTGTGTAATTACAAGGTTGCTTTTTAGAGCCTGTTTGGAAAGCCACCTTGGAATTGGATTTGGGTGTAATTGGGTGTAATTACACAGTTTGGCATGTTTGTTTGGCCAAGTAATTACTTGGTCAGCATGGAATTGGGGGGTAATTGGAGGGGTGTAATTACCCTCTCGAATTCTCAAGGGGGGGGGGGGGGGGTTGAGAATTGGTGGTAATTACACTGTGTAATTACAAGGTTGCCTTTTAGTTTCTTTCCTTTTTATTTTTATTTTAATTTATTTTCTTTATAATATTTTATTTTTTTTATTTTAATTTTTTATTTTATTTTTACTTTTTAATTTCTTTTGAAATTGTAAAATATATTTTCTTTGTACATTATTTATCTTTTATTTCTCTATATTTACTTCTTGTGATTCTATGTAATTACTTATATTTTATTTTTTATTTATTTTATTATTCTATTTTGAAACTACACCTCCTAATATTAGAAATAATGAGTCATTAATAAACTTGGCATATAATGAGTGATGCGATTAAAGTGGAACTTTGTTGTTAAATGTGGTTATAAACTTATCATGTTTCCTATCTTAAGTTGCAGTGGGACTTACTATTATTATGTCGGAATTTGACATAAGTTAAACTATTTTATTTTTTTGAATTTTTGAAATTGTGTTATATTCATGGTTCCAATTTACTTATTTTGTAGTATTGACTCACATTGCATGTTGTTCATTTTTTAGTTAGAATTGGTAGATTAGTTTTGTCAAACATTTGAATAATGTTATGACATTATATTTATAAATATTAATTTATTTTATCAAACATGAATTCCATGATGTTCTTACAAAACGTATATTTTATTTAGTTTTTGTAAGTATCTAAAATAAATATTATTAGTTTAAAATATATATATAAAAATTATTTTAACAAAATTAGTTATAAATATATGATTATTAATTAATGTATATTCACGAAAAAATAATACATCTTAAATACCAAATATATCATCATTTATACTTATAAAATCTTATAGGTATATATTTATTATATTAATTTTTAGTTTTGATAATTACTTAATTTAAAATTTAATCTAACTGTGTAATTACACTTGTGCAACCAAACAGTAAACTTGTAATTACACT